TCATGAAATTCAACCTTATATAACTTTTTCAGAAATCTGGTTGAAAACTTTCCAATATCATATACTTATTTTAAAAATATTATGGACTAAATCATTATATAATTATTAATGCAGAATTTTTAGTTGTATTTTAGAGTCCAAGTATTCCAAGCGATTGGTTTGTTGAACTCCATTTTCTAATCAGACATTGTCTCTGGTGTTACCTCCCTTATACAATCTTCAAGTTTTAAATATTTTCTGGGTTTTTTACTAAAATCAATATATTTTTATTTTATGCTGTATGATTATTTTCATTCTAAAAAATATCTTCAACCTGATTTATGAAATTGTGTTAAAAAGACTTAATTGAAAATATGATCATCTTCAAGGCTGAATTTTTAAGATTAAAAAATAACCAGTGTATATAATTTATGAAATATATCATTATCATTGTCAAACATAATTATCATTAAGATCATACTGTTAGGGATCATTTCTAAAATATGCATCGCTTGGACGTCAGTCAATTTTGACTGGATCGTAAACCATGAGGATGATACAAAGCCTCCCCTTCTGAGCGTGAAGCGGGTTTTGTGACTGTATCAGATCAGATGGAGTTCTTAACCATTGATGACCGTTCTTCTCCTCCCTTAGTGGGGAGATGGAGGTAGGGGAGGCATTCAGAGTGCTTTAACAATTTTTTATAAATGTAATAGAGATTTCCCCCTTCCTTATCAGACTACCTGGTCTTCTCTTTTCAAATTTTAACTCCAGTTGGGATTTAAAAAAAAAAATTAAGATAATGCTTATTTCACTGTGTATAATAATTTTTAAAAAAAAATTCAGTCAACAATTTTCATGTGGAATTACACTATCATATATATACATTAAACATCTTGTAACTGTCTATAAGCACAATATAAACCAGTATTCTGGTCCATGGTAGACTCTATCCATTTGAATCTTCTAAATCTTGAACATACCATAACTTCACTTTTATAATAACTGATTAAATAAGTATATATTGTAATCTCTATATATAGATGTATATATTTTCAGAATCTTCTCTCACTCTCTTATGTTTTAGAACTGATGGCAACAAGACTTAGTATTTATTAGATTATTGTAGATGACCAGAACTGTTTTAATGTTCAAAACTAAACAATAACTATGTTCACTGCAACCTATTTTTAGCAGATCTCTTTATTTTTTTATCTCCACATAGAAGTTTTCATGATCTTCTTCACTCAATATACCAGCCTATCAATTCAATTACTATCTCTTTCCATATTAAATCATGAAATTCAACCTTATATAACTTTTTCCAGAAATCTGGTTGAAAACTTTCCAATATCATATACTTATTTTAAAAATATTATGGACTAAATCATTATATAATTATTAATGCAGAATTTTTAGTTGTATTTTAGAGTCCAAGTATTCCAAGCGATTGGTTTGTTGAACTCCATTTTCTAATCAGACATTGTCTCTGGTGTTACCTCCCTTATACAATCTTCAAGTTTTAAATATTTTCTGGGTTTTTTACTAAAATCAATATATTTTTATTTTATGCTGTATGATTATTTTCATTCTAAAAAATATCTTCAACCTGATTTATGAAATTGTGTTAAAAAGACTTAATTGAAAATATGATCATCTTCAAGGCTGAATTTTTAAGATTAAAAAATAACCAGTGTATATAATTTATGAAATATATCATTATCATTGTCAAACATAATTATCATTAAGATCATACTGTTAGGGATCATTTCTAAAGTATGCATCGCTTGGACGTCAGTCAATTTTGACTGGATCGTAAACCATGAGGATGATACAAAGCCTCCCCTTCTGAGCGTGAAGCGGGTTTTGAGACTCTATCAGATCAGATGGAGTTCTTAACCATTGATGACCGTTCCTCTCCTCCCTTAGTGGGGAGATGGAGGTAGGGGAGGCATTCAGAGTGGTTTATCAATTTCTTCAAAGCAATGAAATTCCCTCTCATTCCCTATTTTACTAGTTGGTCATTAAAATGGAACTTTTTTTCTCAGAAATTTCCCTTCCTGATTTTGTCTTTTTCTAAATTCAAAAACCCACAATTATGAGAATAAAAACTGGGATTTTTCAGTTGCTGAATCTCTCAGCTCGTGTATGCCGGTGGAGTTACTTCCCTTTTACTGTTATGTTCCAAGTTTTTGAAGATTTTCTGCTATTTTTACTGTTATCATAATATTTTTCTTTATTTTGTGTTTTATAATTATTTTCAGTCTATAAAATATCTTCAAGCTATGTTTTTTATAAAATTTTGCTTAATATAGCTTTAATACAAGAAATAATTATCTTTAAGGTTTAATTTTTAGTAGGAATTAATAATAACCAGTGTATATTATTTATGAAATATATCATTATCATTGTCAAACATAATTATCATTAAGATCATACTGTTAGGGATCATTTCTAAAGTATGCATCGCTTGGACGTCAGTCAATTTTGACTGGATCGTAAACCATGAGGATGATACAAATCCTCCCCTTCTGAGCGTGAAGCGGGTTTTGTGACTCTATCAGATCAGATGGAGTTCTTAACCATTGATGACCGTTCCTCTCCTCCTTTAGTGGGGAGATGGAGGTAGGGGAGGCATTCAGAGTGGTTTAGAATTATCTTATTATTCCTTACAGCAGGGGTTGGAACTAGGGAGGATTACTTGCAGGCTGGTAAGGAGGTGCTCTACTGTCTGGCGTGAAATGTTTGGATATATATAAATTAAGTTGTTTTATAGGGAAAACTTCAGCAAAATCACAAAATAGTAAGGATTTAAAGGAAAGGTGTAATGTTATTTGTGGGAAGATCAAATAGCCTCAATAAGTTAACTGATATAAGACCAGTCAATTATAAAATCCTCTCTAGTTATTATGCATTGTTGACAATTTTGGTTGGAAGCTAATCCTCTTTAAATGATCAGAAAGAACTACTTCTTTTCTTAAAAGTTATTTTCTACTTTCAGCAAGTTAGAAGCTTTTAATTATGAGTTCAATGTTTTTTTTTAATTTTAGGTTCTCGTCAGACATTTTTTGCAAGTCAGGTGATGAGATATGCTGATTTATATGCCTCTACTTTCTTCAATTTTATACATTACCCATTTTCCTATGTATTTAGAGCTCCCCCTATGCTGGTGAGTGATTATTTCTAACTTCTGCTTTTTGCCAGAAACCAGTACATGTAATTAATAGAATCTTAAAGAAAGAGTACAATACCACCTCTTTTCACCTTCCAGTAAATCTGGCAAAATCTTTGCCCCAAGTACCCTTTTTTAAATGAATTGAATTGAGTTTTACTTTTGTACTAGTATCTTTTTTAACGGGATTGGTGCGCCATTTTTTTTGGACCAATCATACGTTAGTCTCAGAAATGGAAATTTGTTAGATAAGCCAATCAGTAATATTGTTTACAACTCAACATGGAAATGTTAGCCTTCAAAATGCAAATGCAAATTAATGGAATTTAATATTTGTATTGTCTGAAAGACATTCTAAGACATTTGATAATATTATTTTGAATGTTTGTGAAATGACAGAAAATATCAATTCTGAGTAATATGCTTGGATTATTATTTTAGATGTCACATGAATCAACTGTTGAACATGATGCTACCATTGATCCCACAGATAGTATCAGCCAAATGTCCATTGCTCCCAGATCAAGAACAGATGAAGAAACTATAGGGAAACGAAATCCATTGATTCGTAGTGACAGTATTGTACCTAGAGCTTATGCACCAACACCTCGACAATTTACTCAGGTTCAGGAAGAATCAGAAGATGAAGATGGGAAAGAAGCTGAGGATGGTGATGAAGATGATGATGATGATGATGATGATCAAAAACTTTAAAGATTTGATCAACATTATTCCTTATTTCTTTTAACAGGGACACAGTCCTCCAAATCTCTATCACTATTCACAATTGAAATCAAAATTTGCAATTCAACAAAACATTTCATGATCTTTAGGATATTACTATATGTCATCATGCCACCCATTGTAGTTTTTAATGAATTGTAAGAAAACCAGATGATTCAATTTGTGCTGAAAACTTCTATACAAAAATTATGCATTCTTTGAATGGCTCTCATTGTCTTCTTAATTTATTCACAAGAATTTTTGATCTTTTTTTTTTTCTTTAATGTTCATATGCGAAAACAGACTACCTTCAGGTCCAAAAAACTATTCAGAATGGCAAAGTTTTGAGAAAATCAAATGCCTATGTCTTTTTCATTTTCCTACTGGTGTAAATGCAGACCTATGTTTTTGTTTTGTTTCCTAGTAATGCTATAAATGATCTCACTTGCAATCCATGACATGAAAAATTCATATCAGCATGAGTTCAATTCATTAAAGTACTCAACCTATCAAATGCTTTTATAAATACAAGATTATCTACAAAATGTGATGAATTTTTAAGTATGGCTTGAGTTGGCAGCCAACTTTTAACAATGTGTATGATTGATAGATCAAATTTTACTGAACAAGTTTTTTAGCGGAGTTTGTAATTGACAAATTGCATTCGTAACCTTAATTCTGATTTTGATTCTGGAAAGTGATACAGATAGTATGGATTGAGCAGTTGGATGGGAGTATTAGATTTCATAATAAAAACAATTATTGAAATTTTTTTTTATTCTCAAAGGTGACTTTTGATGCCCTGTTTTGAAATATATAATTAATATTTTAATATTTTAGGTTTATAATTGATATAACTTATTATCCATCCATTATATGTATATAAATCAATGCCTTTTATTATAATACTGTCATATATGTGTTCTGGGTTTGTCAATTTAAATAGGCTATTTAGTGTTATCTGTGTTAGATGGCTGAAACATCTGCCTCAATTATTCCAGCTATCTTGAAAGTTGGTGTACAGACAGAAAAACTAGGCCTTGTTATATTGGTATTTTTCAAAGGTGCGGAAACTTTAAACCTATTATTTAAATCAGATGTCTCAAACCGAGAATTTTTCAGGAAGAAGGATATTTTCGTAGTTAAGTCATAGCAAAATCTTTCTAGACACAAATTATATCTGAGGTTCCATCAAATTTTTTTTTTTAACATTTAAAACATTTTGCGCGGCCAAAAGTTCAAAGGTCATAATTATAACAAAACGAAAGGTACAGTGATGCAGAACACTAACAAATAGTCATAGTTTAGATAATTTAATATTATAGGTTAGAAATATGCATCTTCAGGGGTGTGGAAAATCCCCAGAAAACAGGACCTAGTTTTTCTGACTTTACGCCAGCCAATAACTGTCAAAATATCTATCAGTCTGGAATAGAGGCAGATGTTTTGGTCTACGTGTATACCTTGTTTTACACACATGATAGTTGACAAAGGAAGATTTTTTTTCAAATATTTGCATCTTTAAAGAATTAACAGTTACGACTTATGTACACCAATTAACTTTTATTCCAATATTTTTACCTGTGAAAGTTGACAGATAGTGTTATAAATAATATTTGTAACCTCTTTTGAATGCTTTATTTTCACAATTGTATGCAATTCTTGATGAAGATTCCTTTTTTGATCAAATATGTAGAGGGCATTAAAATAATGTTTATATTTCAAAATTTAGTTACTCTTCAATGAACTCTGTTCCTTTTTCAAACTCCATAATTTCAATGTCTTATTCCTTTGAACAAAACTGCTGGTCACCATACCAAAACAATGAATGCCTCAAGGTGAAACTCCTGAATAAAATTAATCACATTTTATGTGTTATGTTTTGCTCTATGACTTTGCAAGATATTCAGAATATTAAAAGACCTTAATAAAAATCAGTCAAATATCAGTATGTATGCAGACTGATATGTATATCTCACAGAGGGTCAAGCTCCCCCTGAAAATTTCAGATCACTTGAATGACTTAGTTGAGCACCCTTTAAAAAAATGTGCCCCCCATCCCCTGAGACCCTGGGCAAGCTACGGGGCCTTTGTATATGTCACAGGAACATACAACATCACTTCCAAACAATATATATCTGAGGTAGATGAAATGAAATTTACAATGAAAGTCATTGAAGTGAAATTTATAACTAAGGTCTGTGAAGTTAAATTTACTCTGGAGCTGCTAGAAAAAAACATAGGTTTCACTTGTATGTCCAAAAAAATAATTGATATCTGTAATAGTTTGAAATTCCAGATTTTTTTATTGTTTGTTTTTTTTTCAGTACGGGTTCACATATCATACTTACAGATCAAATTTTAAATAGCATTTTTCTGAGTGTTAAATATATTTTTTCAGTTTAGAATTTAGAATTTTATTTAGATATGTATTAATATGTATTCCAAAATAATGTGTGCTAAATGTAGATATGTTGTTATGTATTTAATGGAAATTTAAAATTCAGATAACCTAATGGCATTATCCTTCCAGCTGGAAACATGACAAAAATGATGATCATGATGATTATTAGATAAGATAATAGGTCAAGCAGAACACAAATTATTTATTTGTTTTGATTTATTTTGAAAAAATTTGTTTCCTTAACATTGGTTATTTTCGGATATATACCGATGGCCAATATGCATTAAAAATGTCAAAAATTATTTTCTGTTCTATGGCAAATATTTGAGTTCTGTTTTTTCTGACATGTCCAGTCCATGTGAAGATTGGTATATTTACATAATATCAATGCTATTTAATATATATATGTATATGTACATTGATTATATGACTATACTTCGCAAATATTATATTATATATTATCATCTATTAAATAAATTCAACTAAAATATTGATTGGTTTTTCAATTTCATAATCACTATCCCAATGAATACTTCAGGAAACCTGGGCTATAGATCATAGTGATATTTTGTCTTTTGTCTAAGAAATGTATAGTGATCAATCAGGCATGGCGAAAACATTAGCTGTGGCAAGAGAACTTGTTCTTGTCTTGGGTGAGATTCAAACCTATAGAATTTTATTTTAAAAAAATCTATTAGCTACCCCATGCATTATATCTAACATTGGTACAATCATTTGTGCTATTGGCAAAACTTACAGCTTTAAAATGTTTACTGTGCACTTTTGTAAACCAATAACCCTTTCATCCCATCATAGGATAAATTTTACAAACAATTTCATTGCAAAGTATTCACTTTCAATTATTCAAGGGAGGTAATTCAATCATAGATATCTCCCAATACAAACCCTGAAATATAGGTAAGCTAGCTAAATGATGATAGTTTGACCTCATTGTTTTAATACACTATGAAATACAACAGCTGTTATCATGTTATGCATGATATAGCATAATCAGTGAGATATCATGAATTATATTGAAGAATACAACTCAGATAATATAGTCCTCATAATACAAATTCAAAACAAAATCATTATTTAATATCTTTATTGCGAGGCAAGACAAATTTATTCAACAAATCTAAAATTATCAAAATCATAATAGAAAAACATTACATAATATATAATTTTTTCAGAATTTTCAAATAGTATTATCATTTTAAATTTTGAAAGACAATTATATAACAGTTGAATACAAATTGACCATTTTAAATTATTTTATAAAGTTTATGTGGTATATAAGCTACTAACATCCTTATTTCAATTGCCCAACTGAGCCTCAGGGGTCTGGGGTGCAGGCTTCAAACCTGTAGCTGACTAGCGTCAGAGTGGTTCAACTCCACCTGATGGGCGTTTTTACTATACTTCTACAGATGTGAATAGATATTGAATAACTTGAAGAGATACTTGCAAATCACTTTTACATTGTATGAAATACTGTAAATAACCCTATACTGTATATCATTGGCACCCTATGGTTAACCACAAACAACTATAAAATAGGTTACACAGCATTTGTTTTTTCTCTGCAGGCACTAACTCCTATGGTTTCAAATAAGCACTCTTAATATTAAATACTTTCTGATTATGATACAGTTCTTTATTTCAGTATCTGGGGTAAACACAGTGGTGAAAATAACCCTCTTTGATATTCTGTGATGACAAATTTTGTCGGAAGAGTGATAATTTAAAAGGACAGTTACACCAACCGGAATGAGAGCTTTGCAATAAATGTAGGATAATCTTGGATTCCAAAGTTAAGCAAAAAATTGTAAAAATAACTTTATTAAAATTAGATTCATCAATGATCCATTAAGATGATATTTTCTCATTGTTTATCAATAAAGAACAGCATGTTAAACATCCATCTACTTTATATAACTCTTTCAAACAGGTCTCTAACCTTTTACCTTTTATACTGGATACTATAGTCTGAAACGATACAAATAGAAATCATATTATTCTTAAAGAATGGTAATATGCTTTATCATTTTACATTGCAAACATAATGCAAATATTTTTTACACTGTAACAGACTAGATAATTACACAAATTCTTACAGTGTAGGAGAACATAATAACACAAATTCTTACAGTGTAGAAAGACTTTAAGTACACAAATTCTTACTGTGTATGGAGAACAAAATTACACAAATTCTTAATGTGTATAGGGAATATAATTATACAAATTCTTAATGTGTATAGGGAATATAATTACACAAATTCTTACTGTGTATGGAGAACAAAATTAAACAAATTCTTAATGTGCATAGGGAATATAATTACACAAATTCTTACTGTGTATGGAGAACAAAATTACACAAATTCTTAATGTGTATAGGGAATATAATTACACAAATTCTTAATGTGTATAGTCAATATAATAACAGTGTACAGATACTACTTTCATACTTGATGCATACAATTACATTAGTCATACCTGATAATCTCTATCCCCAATTTCTGCCTGTGTTTTATGTACCAAAATACCGTTTATAAATAATCCATTGGAAGATTGGTCATTCATCAATTCTATATACTGATATTTAAATTTGGCTTTTTCTTTTATTGACTGAAAAATAAATAGAATTCCAACACCAATTCAATAAACTGAGTTTCTATATTATTTTTAATATCATAAACTAATATAATCAAATCATGAAACTCATATATGCATACCTCCATCACTAATATCTGACTGAAAATTGGGATGATGCAAATTGATACCTATCAGTGTCCGCAGCACAAATAAAAAGTTTAGATAACCTCTTTATAATCCCTTTAACACTGATTATCTATTGTTCTGTGACCTAGTCCAGTGCTTTTATCGATTCTCGCCTCAATACACCCCAATACTGACTACCGAATAAAAAATCAAACCTGGAACATGGATTTAGCAGCAAGACTACCACCAACAGCCATAATATCTTCTCCAAACATAGTAGCTATAGATTTTAAATGTAATACTGAGCTATGAACTGGTATACTGGTCACAGGATAATCTGGAAAAGTGTCTGCTATTTTCTTGATGCCGCCTGCATTAGTTCTTTTACTCAATCCTACTAATATCTCCTTGCCTTCAAATAAAACAGTTTCAGGATAAATATATCAGACAACTTTGAGGGACTTTCAGTTTTTTCTAAAGAAAGTGTGGTAACTTATTTTCAAGCTGCTACTTGCATTACCTCCCTTCCCTCTATAAATCCTTACAATTTCGTGATTTTTTCTTAGGTTTTCCCTGCAATCTTTTACATGATGGAGAATATAGACTTATAGAATGGAACACCTCAATTCTCCTCAAAAATTTCAAAATTAGCCCTTGGGGGTTCCCAGGTTGAAAAACCCTGACATAAGGGAAATAAGGAGAAACTCAGGATTATTAATGTAATGGTACAAACCAGTAAATAATACATCTCCACCATCTATAGTACTATCATCCTTATCATTACACATATCAACAATATTTAAATCTAACTTATTCTTTAATACATCTTTAATAGGTTCACCCTAAAAATATAAAATAAACATTAATACAAAACGGTCCTTTAAGCAATTGTTTTACCATTGAAAAAATTTCTTGCAAAATCTGCAGGTTCTATTTGGACCATTCCAATTTCAATAATGTTGGAAATGGGTGAAAACTTTTCCATATAAAATTTTAGTGCATAAGTTATAAATTCAGTCTTTTTGATGACACCACCAGCCAATCAAATTTCACAATCTCCCAGCACTGGAGAAATTTGATTGGCTGACAGTGTCATCAAAAGGATGAATGTTCAAGTGGTCCGTCTTTAGACCTTGACTGAACCCAAATTAAAGGTAAAAACAGAACGAAAGTTTGGTCTAATGTTTATTAGACTGTCAGGCATCAATATTACCTCTCCTCTACGTGAAGGATGACCTTGTCGTGTCATGAAAGCTTTGTCACCAATAACTACAGCTGCATCTTCCACAAAAACACAATCAGGAAACTGTTCATCCTTCTCAACTTCAACAGGCTTCACTCCACATTTTTCTAAAACTGTTTTATAATTCTGATATTCTTGTCTAGCCTGTTTAAAATCAACTGCTTCAGAATTATTCATTCTCACTGCTTCAGTTTCCAAACTATTGGGAATTTGTCGAACCAAAGCATAGTTGTATTTAAACCAAGACATGTTCCTTAAATAAAAGTAAATGAAAATCAAGTTTCACTTAAAAAGAAGATACAAAAAAAAATTTTCTTTTCATAAATTTGAAAATTTAGATTCTGTTTATATCCTTTTAAATTTATTATTTAGCAGTGCTCACTGCTTTTACCATGCCTGTAATTTTCTTTTTGACGGTTATGCTTAATAACCAACTATGTTATCCAAATCCCCAAACCCTTAAAGTTAAGAAATGAAAAGCCAATCAGCCAGAATAATGAAGTTTGTCATAACTAAATTTTGATAAGTTGAGTTATCTTTCTCAAAAGATTATTTGATTGGTTGGATCTGTAAACATTATCATGACATGACTGAAATCCCTAGCACTTAAAGAGACCCACAAAAGGGAGTAGCTAGAGCTATACCCTATTTCAATCAGTGGCTCAACTACCATAAGTCCACGAGCCACCACCCCCAAGGGGCCCAAAAACCTAGAAAAGGCCACAATTATAGTCAAACTAATCATCAAGCAATATATTATTGAGTGAAATAGTATTAACTACAAATCTTTGAATCTTCCATTAATAGACATTAAATTAAGAGGTCTCGGAATGCAGGAAAGCATATTGCCTGGGAAGAGCCGCAATCCATTGATCCACTGATTTGAATTCAGATTAAAAGTCTTTTTCAACATAAAAACCAAACTTACCTTGTATTATATTGAATAGTAGATGACAAGACTGTTTTTAATATTCCTATAATAAAAATGACATTTCAATAATTTATAACTTATCCAAAGTTACTGAGCGTAATTTCAAACAAGAGGTATAGTTAGTATCACTATAATGTATAATGGCAGATACAGATACACCTTTTGGATTGGAGGGGATCATTCCATCATTCCAGGTGATCAGGAGGAGAAATTTTTGGAAATAAAGGGCTTAAAACCAGTGAAACAACAACATGAGCCGGGGCCCATTGACTTAAATGGGTTAGGGCCCATCTTTAAAAATAAGATCATAAAATTGCCCTTGGTAGGGACACAGCATAAGTTATGAACCATTTTATATTGAGTGTTAAGCTTTTTTTTTGAGGAGGTGGGGGTCCCCTTGTGGGTGGAGGCCCCTTTAGGGGTGAGGCCTATGGACTTTATAGTTGAACCAATGCTTGAATTCTGCATTTTGTGGATTCTGAATATTCAATATTATTACATTTTTACAAAGAAAAAATGCACATTTCCAGAAAATTTTATTTTATTTGCTCCTTTGGTAGGAAAGGTTAGGGTTCACTTTGTCCTGCAGTTTCTATAAACAATAGATATTGAACTTGAAATCTGAACAGTGTAAATGTTGTATATAATATTGCAGGCCTATATTAAGCAAATAGCTGTATATGACCGATACATAGTTACAAACTAACACAATAAAAGCACATTCAACTAGGTTATAAACATAGAGTTATCTTATAATTATATGTAACTCTATGTTTAAATGACCTAAATAACGGAAATCTGTAGAAAATATTAAATCAGAATGCTATATGGTATACTAGAATTGAAGAAACCAACCATGAAGAAACATTATCCTAGAACTTAACAGAAAAAATAAAAGTAGAATTTCCCGATTTATCCAATTTCACGAATAAAAATAGCGGTTATCGGCCTCATCTGTCAGTTTTACACGTTAAAAATACATGGCGTGAGCGTGACAAAAATTACAACTATTGTTCGATTCCATCGCAGGTCATGTATACCCAGTGGAACTGTCTCGACAAGGGTCACTGGGGAAAAGTTAGATAATGAATAAAGCAATAACATTACAGGTGTAGGAAAGACTGCGAGTTCTTGGGTTGAAGTCGTATAGATATCAAAGAGCCTAGTCAGTATATCTATTAGACCAAGAAGTTGACTCTAAATAATACTGCCGACGGCATTGAGAGACGGGATGTTTCGGTCTATATATCTATACTCTCTGTAAACCTACCGGTAATATACAATAGGCTTAACTCTATAGTTGAAGCATCACTCCATAATAAAGACAATTGTATACAGTGTACGCGGTTGAGGGAAGTGGCGTTTCTAGGAAAAATTAATCGAGGGGGCCGAGTAGGGCAAAAATAGCCTTGAATGTTTCAGGCCAAGCAGTGGTAAACAGCCCCAGCCCTTTCACTAAGTAAAAAAAATTAAACGTGGGGGTGGCGGTGGGTCAATTTTTGCGGTTCACAACCATTCCCTGAAACGACCAGGTGGTCAGAACTAATTTGCGAAATCAAAGCTTCGTACAAAACGATAAAAAACAACGTTTTGGTGGAGATTTTGTCTCCTCGGCATCGTCAGAAATGCGCTCTTCGAGCTTCTAGTTGTAAAACTTTCTTAAGGAAGAGCCGTGATCTAGGAAGGCTGAGAATCATGACAGGTAGGCCTAAGGCTACGCACGCCCCACCTTGATACAAAATTCGGGACCCAGCACCAATTTCACTTCTGGTGACGGTGCTGTAATTAGGCTACTCAAAACTAGCGCCAAAACCGTGATCGATACCACCCCTAACCCCCCACCTCAAGAAAAAAATCTACGGGCCATTCAATTCAAACTAAAAACATTTTCCGACAAATTCTTTAGAATACTGCATCACGTGACCTCAATGCCGTTTGGTTCTTTGACTTTGGTAATCTAAAATGGGAGAGGAAGTTTTATCGTGATGATAAGTGGTTAACTAACGGCGTGGTAACTGTTTTGAAGGAATGATCGAAAGTTTTAGATAACAGTTGCTGTTTTTGCCAACCTATGCCAGACGCTAGATGCCTCCTGAACACTATGGTTTTTGAAATTTTCGATTTCGAATTAGTGAGAAAACACAAGCAGCCAGTCCATTGACAGTCCAAAAAAAAACCAAGTAGGCCTACTCATGGTAAGTTTTATTAAAATATTTTATATTGTCAGGCAGCCCCGTTGTTAGGGTGGGGTTCGTGGGACTAGGCCCTATCAAGTGAGAAGAAGTGAGCCCCAACAAAACCTTCTTCACTTTAGCAGAAATTGATTCATTTACTTGCAGTTTTTTGTACAAAATAAAAAAGATATTTGATTCGTTTTTGGCACATCAAACTTGTCAGAATTCAGTTCTGTTGGCGTTCAATTCTTCATATTTTGTGAGTACAATATCTGAGCCCCAGCACCAATTAATTCCTGATGATGGGGCTGTTGTTAGATCATTGTAAGTGTCTAAGGATAGGGTGATGGACACAGTTAAAGAGGCCCAAAGTTTCTGAAGGAAGAAGAAATTGTCATAGGCATGTTGTGACAATCTTATTTCACCTATTTTGTATTTCTAAGCCGATAACTTTTGAATAAATCACCTGGCTTTAGCCTTTAATTATCCAAAGCATTGACCATCATTTGCCTTCAGACAGACTTGACAAGCATTACACGTTGATTAGCTGGCTTAACATGATTTCCATTCCTTAAGAATTATTATGACCTATTGAAAATTTATCAATTGTAGGCTTTATGATAAATTACACAAACTGTGTTTGACATTTCATTTCTATGTACCGGGTACTAATATATTTATAGTTAGATAATATTACTGTTATTCAACTGAACTTTGTCTAACTTGGTATATAAGACTTTCCTCAAATAACATTAATTGTGTGTTCAAAAGCTGCTAATTCTGCCCCGAATAGTTCATATCAGCTAGCCCAAACCAGCCCTCCATCATACTCTCTTGGTTTTGCTGTCTCCAGACCTAATCAAATCTATCACATGGGTTAAAAGTTTGTCAAGCACAAATTGATGAATATCTTGCTAAAACAGTTACACTGAAATTCAAATTTGTGGACAGGAAATATTAGTGTGGTATTTGTGGTATATGGTAATCAAAATAATTACTTGTATTAAATTTATTAATCATTAATATCAAATTAATGTATAACGACAATTTTAAATGTCAAAAATTCAAATTTGTTTAAAAGAAAGAATGGAGGATTGTGGTAGATTATGTAGGATTGTTTTGTTTATTGTTTAATGTTAGATAGGTCTGAAATACCAAGTATCAATTAATGTTACCAAATACTGAAGTTTGGATGAAAAGAAACAGTATTAGAATGTTACTGTGTATAACATTTGAAAATAGTCATGAGATAAAAAAGAGATGATTTATATGCGATTCCAGCAAATTTTCGATCAGATTATGACATCACTTCACAGAATATCAAAAGTTGGTCAAGTGTTTCTAAGATTATAGGAACCACTGGCATTTGATGGGAAATTTAGATTTTGGAGATGAAACAATTCAGATGGTTATAACAATAATATTTTTATGTCCGTGCTTTGAATTCCTTTTGGAATGAGGGTACAAATTTATATGAATCTGCACATGAAAATAAACAGAAGTATCTTTGTTTGATTTAAAATTAAACATGGTGTTTTGAAAGAACTGATTATTCAGCACATCTGTGTAATGGCACACAGTCAAGATTAAATAGAGTAATTTCCACTCTGAATTTGTAAATGTCAGATAAAGAACTATTTGTGAATTGTGCAATGAAATGAATACAGTTAAAGTCTAATATTAACTGCATTCAGTTAATGTTTATATATATAGATATTGCAATACCAATTTTATAAGTTATCCAATTTTCTTTGCCATTACTTCTATTGGTTGAGATTTCCTGAGTTTAACTTGAAATTTATCTAAAGAATGAATACCTAGCTAGAAGTATCAGATCAAATAACTGAAAGCAAAGTGATTTGAGTATGAGGTTTTTTTTGTTTAAAAGTCATATTTTGCCATTTCCTGGGGTTGATTTATGTCTTGAATTGTCTTCAGAACTATTCAAACTGCACGAAAATTGCATAATCCCATCAAATATTAAATCCAACTAGAAATTTCATTTTCTTTTTCTATAAATGTCTCTTCTATATATGGAGTAGTATCAAGAAAAGACAAGCCATCATTTTAACTTATAATTCTTGACACACATGGATTTGAAGCCTAAAATTTAAACAATGATCGTTGAACACTATTTCTGATAAGCTTAGATTTGAGACTAAGGTACCATTGGAAAACATGTCCCTTTAAATAGAAATATTGGAAAATTTATGAAATTGACATCTGATAATATTTCTAAATGGAGTCTATAGGGTATACTTGAAAGTAATCACCAGATATAATAGCTGTAGGGAAAATAGACCACACCTGTTGTTTTAAGTAGGTACCTGTATATTGTTTTATATGGAACATCTTTCAATTGGGTTTGATAATTTCCATATGTATTAGTACTTATCACATTAACTAAGTGCTGTAAAAGTTGGTCTACATCTAAAGATGCAAGCTGATTTAGTATATAACATTTTGTATTATAGACTATTGTTTTTGGATTGATTTGTTGATTGTCAATATGCTTATGGCAACTTTTACATTCTCTAAAGAAGCAGTAAGGAGGCCTGACTGTGACAGAGATATTAGGCCTATTACTAATTATGGGATCCAATCTGGCCCTTCTGAATTGATATTAAATCTCAATGTGTATTGCTCGATATGAATTGCCATTCAGATATTTCTGTTTAATAGAGCCAAAATGAATGTTTTGTAGTGATGCAATATGTTGGTATTTAGAATAATCTTTTGTTAAGATTAAGAATTAAATTAAGATTATTGAACTTCGTAAAGCACTTATTAGTGCTCTAACATAAGCATTCAATGTCGCTTTACAAACAAATATTTCTACATTATAGTCAATGTCTATAGAAGATCTTGTACAATTAATTACTAGAGTTAGGAGATCTGATAAGATATTTTGTTCCTTTTACATTACCGTAAAAGAGCATTCTAAGCCTTAATCTGTTTTGGTTATTGATTGTATAGGAAATGTTTTTTTCTTACAGATCAGAGAAAGATAAAAATGGAGAGAAAATTAATGAGTATAATAAAAAGGCTAATGGAATGGCGTCTGGTCAGTTGGGTTTCTTCTGCTTATTTTAATAGAAATCAGACACACAGAATAATGGCTGACTGTTGAAAGAAATCTTATTTATTGAGGATAAGATAGCTTGGGGATGATTGGTTTATAACTCGACCATTGCCTCGAGAATGAATGACCACTGTATTACAGTTTAAGAGTGACCAAATGGTCAAAGTGTTCAGCAGAATTTACAGGAGAAACAAGGAATAAGGATTCCTGGAACTGCATATTTCGATTTTTGTTGAAATAGCTTTGAACTCAATAGGTAAGTTTAGAAATTATAGATATTTTGTAATTCTAAGATAAATGTTTTACACTAACAAATATTCTTGATACAATCAAAAAGATCATTTCTTACCTAGACCAGGGGGTTTCAATCTGGATGTAATTTGGACATTTTTGGGGAATAATGAGACGTTTTTTTAATCTATCATAGAATTTTTGGACAATCATATTTTAAGTAAATATTCTCCGACATGAAAAGATTGAAGGGAAAACCTAAGAGGAAATCACGAAATAGTAAGGATTTATTTTGCATTTATTTCCACCTAATTTACTTGTTGAATCTTTGGAACATAATCAAATGCAGAAATCACTGTTCTTGAAGTTTTTAACTACTAAAATGAAATTTCTGGAAAAGTCCTCTAAATCTTTGTACAAAGAAAAATGGTAGTATGTTCATGTCACTTTCAGGTAGTAGTTTCAAAAATGGCTTCCAATCAACATAAAGTAGACAGACAAAACAGTGAAGAATCAGCAGATAGTTTGAAAACTTTGAACGAAGACCTACGTAATCATTTAGTAAAGTTACGAAGTCAACTCGAGTCTCAGAAAGGCAGTATCAAACAAGCTCAATGGCAGAAAGTTTTGAACGTTCGAAATGTTCGAGAATTAGAGCAAGAAAAATATGCTCAATCTATGGACAGTTTGCGTTCAAAACTAAAAGGTGAAAAAAATCGAGAACTTGAAAATTTGAGAACGTCACTTCAATTGAGACATGAAAGTGAAATGTTGAGATTGGTGCGGCAAAAAGATGTGGAAATCACCAAACTGGGACAAGAGCTTGATTTAAAAGAGCGTATGCTGCGTAAACTTTTAGGAGAAAACAGAAGAGGATCCCTAAATTTAACGCCATTTGCCAAACGGAATAAACTTTTGAATGAACTGTCAGAACTAAGAACATGCAAGAAAGAACTTACAGAAACATTGGAACAAGTTAATGGTGCTGAAAGACAACATGATTTGGAATTAAGAAGAACTGCTGATAGCTGGGAGTCAGAACTACAGAGAATTCGAAGAGATGCTCATTTGGAAATCAAGAACTTGGTAAGTGATGTTCAGTTTTATATATTAGCACAATTTGTAACATCACAAGCCGTTCAAAAGGCCTTATTCTACAAAAACTTATGATGACTCTACATTTGTGGTTTGCATGAAAGTTATTCATTAAGTATCCTTTTCTAGGTATGGTTAAAGATTTTTTTAAAAATAGATTAATTGAAGAAGTTGTCCAGTTTTTGGGCACATTCCATCAAGTATACTATCTTTCAATCTATTATTGTGGCAGGGCAGGCTTACTCCAAAACAACTGATGCCACTCTGCTATTGGGATGGTAAAACCCCTTTTGGAGAGTCCACATAGCTAGAAATAATTTATTAGGATATCTATCTAATATTTACGGAAATTCCCAAATGGTTCATTTATGAGCACTGTAATGCTATTAAGAAAATGTGTATTATTATAAGTATCAGAAGTGTAGCATTAGGTGAAAAGAACCTATTAAAATAATGGATGGATGTTGATATATTCAATATTATTTGTGGCAGTAAAACAGCCACCAATAAATTGCCAGAACTGAATTTGATTTATGCTGCCAATGTCAATGATTTGCAGTAAGGTGTGCCATTACTGGTATATAAAAGTCTACAATATGTTGCTCTAAGTGTTATGTACCTGAAAATCTATGTAATTTGACAGGTATCAGTAATTCCATCTAACCTTAACATAACAAACATACATCAAAATTCTGAAAATAAAGTCAGTCTATAAGTTTAGTAACTTATGAATGTTGAACTAGTGTGTTAGTAGTGTTGGCAAGATATATTGTTGAATTGATACATGTTGATATAACTTGCCACAATAAGTTATTCTCTGAAAATATTTAGTAGAAAACACATTAAAACCTAAAATATATAGGGCAAAATTTTTATTACTACATATCCTGATTACATATATCATATCCCTTGCATTGTGATATTTATCAAATTGTCACATGGTTGGCACCAGCCAGCACTATGTATGAAAGGGATTGAAAAGGTTTTTTAAAAAGTATTATGTGTATCCAATATTTAATCAGATGTCTGTGGTTCCTGCAATTCCACTAAAATTGCAGTTTTATATGACATCACTAATTCCTTAGGACTCAATGCATTGTAAAAGCATATTTTGCAATTAATTACGTCATCAAACACTTAGTTTTAGTGGAATTGTAGGAACCACAGACATCTGTTACAAATTGATGCTGTCCCGAAAAACATAAATTGTTTTAGAAAACCTCTTTACAATCCCTTTAAAAGTATCTAAAAGTGATGAGTTTATAGAAGAATTTTTATACACTATAAATACAAATTTGGCAGATTTAAAAACTTGGAATGATTTCAATAATGTGTACATTCAAAGATAAAATTTCTGGCTCCTGGCTATAGGAATGTCGAAGTTTCTACTTGATTCCCTCAAATTAAGATATGTCTACCATACCTACGATATTCAGACATATAAACAATTCTGACAGGTAGATAAACTACTTGTTTACACATGCAGAAAATAAAGAGGGGGAAAAAAATAAAAATATTTGATATGAGTTATTGCCCTTGTTCTTGAAAACACACTCAATTTTTAGCTTGTAAATAGCCTAGAAGGTATTATTCTTGATGGATTTAGACAAAACTGAGTGAAATGGGTTTTTATTACCCAAGGATAAACCCTATTGAAAATAAAAAAAAATCTAAAAACATTCAGTAAAAGTTCTTGCCCTTGTTCTTGAAAATGCGTTCAATTTTTGCTCATAAGCACTCTAGAAGGTTGAATTATTGACAGATTTTAAAGAAAGGTTGAAGGTTGAACCCTATTGAATGTTTAATAGTCAATATGAGTTATTGATCTTGAAAATGGGCTAAATTGTTAGCTTGTTAACACTCTAGAAGGCACAATTCTCTACAGATTTTAAAGAAACTTGGTGGAACAGTTTATTATCATCAGATCATGAAAAAAGTCAAAAAATATTTAACATGGGTTATTGCCATTACAATTGTGGTTGTATTACGTTTGGTGATCACTATATCTTTTTTGTTTGTACTTTAATATCAAAAGTTAATGATGTTAATTTGGAAGCAAGTCTTAAAGCTCGAAATTTTCTTGAGAGAATTATGGCTAAGTTAAATTTTCTGCAGACAATACAAACAAAACAGAAACTAACTGAATATAACTTATGAATGGCCTTATTGAAATATCTTTTGGTTGATTCATGGTAATGACTGTATTTTCTTATGAATTCTTTTGTAATCAAATTGAATTGACTTCAAAAGGATTGAATGATGACCAATTTGACATTTTCCATGTAATCCACATAACTTTGTTACCTGGAACTATACAATTACAAAGTTAGATAAAACTGTTCTGAATGCACAGCCAATCCAGCCCTTTCTATAAATAGATTGTATTAAAAATGAAAGTAGGACAACAGAGGAAGTAATAATGTATATATGTATTGAATATAGGTCTAAGTTATGAAGTTAGCTGGATTTTTGATTGAAAAATGAAAATGAAGAGCTTATTATTCCTGACAATTTATCTTTTTAAATTGGTTGACATTGTAATAAGCTACCAATGTTTGGATTTACATGGAAAACCAGTGGATTGGTTTATTGTGTACAAGTTACCATTCTTGCGTCATAATATTGATCCAATGTTAAAGAATGGAGATGGTCACTATTATATGGATCCAAATGTGCCAAATTTTCAATTATCTAAATATAGTCTGAACAGTACAACTCATGCAATTTATCATACCCTGCAGCAGTTCTATACATCAAAAAATAGATCAAAATCTGATTTCTTTGCCTTATATAATGATTGGAGTCCACAAAAACATGAAAACACAAAACACGGTCACACAAAAGGCATGGTGTTGTTCGACCAGAAGAAAGGATTCTGGTTGGTTCACAGTGTTCCACGATTTCCAGGATATAAAGATGAAGGATATTATTGGCCACACTCCGCTCTTGATTTTGGTCAGAGCTTGTTATGTATGACCTACAACAGCAATGTCATAGATGAAATTGGTAAACAATTTTTGTTTAACTACCCTAGATTCTATGAAAGATGGATGCCACCTGGAATGCAACTCAAATATCCCAACATGTGGAAAGCTTTAAATTTTGGTGTTTCTAGTACTACAAATCATACTGTTAGTTTTAAATCATCCATGGGAACGACATTCACTGTCTTTGCAAAAAGTGGGACTTTTGGTCAAGATTTGTATTCAAGTTTAGTGGCCCCCCATTATAAAGCAGATATGTGGACTGAAACATGGCAGAATGGACAAGACAAACTGCCTTCAAACTGCACTTCTAGCTTTAAAGTACTCAACGTAAAATGGATCAAATTTCAAGAAAATGTACAATTCGAAGAGGAAAAAGATCACAGTAAATGGGGAGTAACTTCTAATGGATATGTTTGTATTGGAGACATCAATAGAATGGGTACACAGTTTAGGCGTGGAGGAGGAACAGTATGTTTCAATAATACAGCTGTATGGAAGAATTTTATGTCTCTGATTACTAAACTAGATGAATGTCAATTGATAAAGCCAGCATTCTAATAATGATCAAACATATGAAGCAGTGGTGTTTGTAGGGAGGGCTCAGGGTACCCTGAAGTGATTATTGCTTGCCGTTAGACTCCCAAAATGGAAGGACAAGCGCGTGTGCCCTCCTTCAATCAGCTCCCTACCTTTTGTTGGTTCACTGAGGTCCACTGATCTACTGTCTGACTGCACTGTTTTCTGAATTGGAATTTGGCAATCATTTTCGAATGAATTGAAATATCAATTACAAAATATTACTGAGAGTCTAAGATTGTCTTTGGGTTGATGAAAATGTTAACCACTGTCAGTCCGAAAGTAGTTTATTTTCAAGTGAACTTTCTGGGAGGGAAGTGTGTCTATTTCAGAATGAAAAATAACTGAACCTTATATTTCTATAGACCCGAAGACATTCTAAGACAAATGGCAAACAGTTGAAAATTTGAATATTTATGAAATTAGAGAAAAAACTCAATTCAAAGCTGAATATAGTCAGACATTAGAGATTATAAAATCTAGTGTTAAGCTTTAACTGGTATATAAATACCATACTTCCTTTTATATTTTTACCTCAAATTTTATTTTTATTTAAAATAATTTTACATATTTATGAAAAAATTCTGCACAAAGTTTTGATATTTCATATGTTAGTAAAAACAACATTCATTATTTGTCACCTTTCATTAAAATAACACAAATGAAACATTCCAATTTGTTAGGTCAAACAATGTTTGAAAAAAATGAAATGATTTTTACGTTTAAGACCAGCATGAAAGAAATTTGAAAAGGCTGCTAGCTACTACTTCTTCAACCACAGATGAGAACTGTAGCCTGAGATATTGTCTCAATTAGAAATCTATTGACCAATTCTGTTTGTCAATAAAAACAACTTTTATCTGTGTCACGTGACAGATCAAAATGGCCTCACGTGACTGATCAAAATGGCCTCACGTTCCTGTTTTTTTTAAATTATGGTATGCAGATATATCAGCATACACTTCTCCCTACTCTTCTTTTGCATCATTGAAATGGTGGTACCATGACATGTATCAACTTGTTTCTATTAGTTAGTCACTTTTTCTTGCAATTTTTACAAATTGCCCGGGTGATATGATTTGGGAATTTGGGAATATGAATACATGTGAACAATTTAGCTTTTGTGATAAAATTTCAGAAAGGTCTATATCATAAATAATGAACCTGTGATACAATTATATTGAGAGTATTATATAGCCAATTGGAAAATATTATTGTGAAAAGTACGGTAGTTTTCTTTTATGATGTTTTTATAAGTACAATATAAACAAAGAATAATGAAAAGGCACAAAAAATTTTTGAAATAAGCATCACAATACTTATATATGATAATGTAGAGAATTCAAGGTGAATTACTCTGATATAAAAACAGAAAAAATACCGTATATACTTAGACCCCTTCCTTATCTCAACCCTTCAATTATTCAGTTACATTTTTGTAGACTTTTTTGAATAAATATTTTTTTGATATAGAAATACATGATCCAGTTATTGTTTATTTTCTGATTAGCTATATCCAATCTACATACATAATTGGTAACAGAAACAATTTGACTTTGTTGTCTGAGACAAATATTTTACCAGTTACCTCCCTTTCAATGTTATTTTCACCAGCTTTTAACAAAACTTCTATTATCGATAGCTGTACTGATATTTACATAGATTTTGATAGTTATTTTATCAGAAGAACTAGTACCTGTTATTAGAATAGAGAAAAACAATCTTCAGATGCACATGTAGAAAATTTACCTTGGATGTCATAGAGGTCTAAGCTCTTGAGCAGTGGTTCCCAACCTTTCTCAGCCTTTACACCCCTGGAGCAATCACCTGGACCTTTCACACCCCCAAAAATTAATTTGTGTCATCCACATTTTCAGATTGTGTTGACTTGGGGTGCTCCCCTCAATTCAAAATAAATTTTTCTTCTACACCAGTTGACCACACCCCTAACACTCCCAGGGGGTGGAAACAACACAGGTTGAGAACTGGGACTCTAGATGCAGTATGTAGATCTCTGGATGGTTACAATTGATATATGTCTATGTATCAAGATGAAACAGAGAGACTTGGAGAGTTCTTTATCAAGTGACATGTAACTGGTTATGTGTGTAACCTGTAACCTTTAGGACTGGTAGCAAAATTCAGTTCCATTAATTGACAGCAAACTAACCCTTTGATAAATCGCACTGGCTATTTGCACCGTCACAATGCGTGTTCCCTATGGCTGCTAACAACAGTATGGTTAAGATAATGGCATTCAATCAATGAGATCAAATAATATAACAGTAGGTCAATTTAACTTGAAACTTGAAATTTAGAATTGTAATCTATAAGGAAAGGATACTGTCTTCTATGTAATTGCTTGTCGAGAATTTCAGAATTGATGTGAAATACTTCCAACAGATATAGAACAATGAGATACTCAGGGAATTCTAGTAATTATTATTTTGTCAATAGACTTAACATTAAATTCAAGGACAAGTGGACCTACTTACTGGACACACAATATTTATCACCTGTAGACTGAATACAAATACTGGTACATCTGACCAAGAGGACCCAAAATAACCATCTTCAGATTTGATACTATCTTTGATAAAATGACATATTTATGACTGACCATTTAAAGGTATTGTGAAGACTTTTTATGTGTATTTGGGACACTGATGGAATCAATTTGCACCATAGCCATTTTCATTTCGATGTCAGTGGTTCCTGCAATTCTACTTTAATTAAGTGTTTTATGATGGAAATATCGCAAAGGTCTTTTGAGGTATAGACGTGAGCAAAGGCTAAGTTTTAGTGAAATTACAAGAACCACAGATGTCTGATTGAAAATTGGAATGGTGCAAATTGATGCTATCAATGTCCCTGATACACATGAAAAGTTAAGAAAAACCACTTTACAATCCCTTTTACTACAGACAAACCATTTTGTAGAGTCCAGGTAGATGATATGTCATTTAGTAACTTGTATAAAATTCCTTTAGAATTAAATAACGGAACACAATTTTATGGTATACTACTCCTTAGTTTTATTACACACGACTTTTCAACAATCTACATTGTCATCTTCAGGTGAAGTGAGGAAATATGGTACAAGAAGTTATATATGTAACTAATTAACTAATTAATTGTTGCTATTGTTATATTTTTGTGTATATATATAACTGAAGATGACAATGTAGATTGTTAAAACGTTGTGTGTAATAAAACTAAGGAGTAGTATACCATAAAATTGTGTTCCGTTATTTAATGTGATCTATACCCCTAAATGTCACTAAAGGATTAATTCCTTTAGAACTATGTCTATATGATTATAATAGGTTTATGTACTAAAGATGTTAAAATCTTAATCTTTGAAATGTCTTTGATAATATTGTTGACTTTGATAAAAGTGTGTTAATGAAATGACTTGTTCATACCCAATATCAACATAACAACAACACAGGCCCTTCAAATATAACAAAACACGAAGAGACAGGTCAGTCAATGACTGAAGACAATATATTTCGGAAGTTCATTGTTTAAACTGACTCCTGCAATGTTTAGTACCAATATTGACCCTCGGCTTTTCATGATCACTCCACACAAAAAGTTCATCAGAACACATGTTTGACGGTCAACACAACAAGTTTATAAGTCAAATAGCACTAAAGTGAAAATATGTTCTCTTCAACAACGACTTAAGATTTTTACTGAATGTTCTTCTTGTATTTCTATTTGTTTTTGATATGTAGTTGGTGACATTTTGAGTTTTTTTTCCACACAAACGGACATTTTTTATACAGTTCCGATCAGTGAAACTTGGAGTATCATGTTTTTACATGTAAGTTTGTATATCTTTACTTAAAAAATATGGATGTAATAATAATTTATTTGCTAATCTCCTTTTTAGATTTTGAGCAAAGTTTTTCTTTAGCGATCAATGTCCATTGAATCTTACTCTTACAAGTTGATGTTGTGTCACTGTATGATGTGCTAGATCACTTTTAATATGGTGAATCTTTTTGAGGACCTCATGATAATGTGTGTCATGAACGTCATTAGTAAAACATCTAAGAAGATTTGCCACTATAGATATTTCAGAAGCAGCTGAACAGCACTTTGGAGATGGGATTTTTTTTTTTTCTAATTTCTTCAAAAAAGTGAGAGAAAATTTACTTGCTAAATAATCACTAACCTTGATTATAAATATGAAACTGAAGTATTCTTGAAAAACGTAATGTAACCTGATAAAAACAGAAGAAGTTAAATTGATAATATTTTTATTTAAAGATTAGTCTTAGTAGAAAGTGAAGTGGTATATTTTCTCAAAATATTTCACAGTCTGTGTGAACTCTCATTTAGACTTCAGCTTAGATGCTGAGAGTTTTTGTCAAAATTTGCAGTAAGGTAATGGATTTTACATGTGACATGCTTCAGTGACTTTGGTATTTTGGAGCAATGTAAGTTTCTATTGTGAATTTCTGGGTTAAAAAGTAACATTGAACCTAATTAGATAAGGACAAACCCCTCAGATCAAGATTGAGGAAAACAGTAACCCACAGTAAAAGTACTAAGCAAAACATCTAGATCTGGATCGGTACCATCAAATGTGGAATATTAGAGGGCATGACAATGATTCCTTTGATGTATGTTACTTTGCCATGCACCTGGTTTGGCAATTCATTTTTCTATAAATGGGAATAGGTCTTTAAGGATCTCAAGAAACTGAGACTGTGCCATTGGGAAATGTAAAGAGTTGATTTCCCTTTTGATTTTAATGCAGATTATCACAAAATCGTTATTTGTATGTGGATGGTGTCTGTTGGGAATTTCAAGGTCTTAGGCTATTAGATGAAGATATTGAATTTCTCCAGTTGTCATTTCTAACAGTAAATTTCTATAACTAGTTGATGTAGACATTATATTCCAGAAATATCTATGTGATTATTTACATGTGACTCCGGTTGCTATTCAAAGTAAGATGTTGTTGAAAT